AAGCACACTCACCCTATAGCAAAAAACCTCTCCAAAAAAAAAAAAAGAGAGAGAGAGAGAGATTTTTGCTATAGGGCATGCACTTGCCAGAGAGACAGAGAGACAGAAAGCGAGAAATCACCCCCTCAGGGAGGATGTTTGCACCACAATCCCTTCTCCTCCATTCATCTCTCAGGATTTGGGGTGCGCACGCACACACGCCTGGCATGAGTTTTAAGCTGCCAGGTCTGGGACTCGAACCATGGGCTGGCCACAAAACCATGATGCCATCTGCTGGTCCCACCATCTGCCTTTTCAAAGCCCACTGCTGTGGATGTACCAGGGGCAGGGACAGGTGTCCTGCGTGTGTTTGCCCTGTGGCCTGCTGGGCTTGTGCAACATGGGCGTGTCCTCGGAATCTGTGTCACCACACTGTCACAGGCAGTTGGCCGGCAGTGCCGGAGGAATGTGTAGAGATCTTAGGTGAGTTTAGAGTGTACACAAAATATTGGATCTGCCTGCTCCCGGCCACTCTAATAAAACTGCCATTAGACATTCCTCCTTCCTGAACGTCTGACACCCACTGGAGTGGAAAAACCAGTCCTGCCAGCTACAGGGGAGGCACCCAGGAAAGTCAGAAGTCAGCTCCCAGTTGCCAGCCCCAGCAAGGTTGGCGAGACTCTTCTGGATCCCGGAGAGTGGGAGCCCTGGGCAGACCTTACCCAGAGGTGGTTCACACCCCGCCTTCCTGCCAGGGACCCTGACTTCAGCCGTGACACCCTGGCACTGCTGCTGGCTTCTCAGAACACTGTCCACTGCCGGACCCAGCATGGACCAGAAGAGGAAAAAGAACATTCCAGAAGGGCGTCCCATCCCAGGTTGTTAACAGTGGCTTCTTCCATCGTTTGTTTTTGCCTTTGGCTTTTTAAATCTGGGTTCAAAGTTATTTAAGGGGGCGGGAACCAGCAGTTAGCGTAATGGCTATGTCGCTGGACTCCCACGTAGTCGACCGCGGTTCGTGTCCCGGACCCGGTAGCTTAAAACTCACACCGGGCGCGTGTGCGTGCGTGCCCAAGATCCCAAGAGGAGAATGGAGGAGAAGGGATTGCGGTGTGACCATCCCCCCTGGGGGGTGATTTCTCGC